GCCAGCGGCCAAGCAGGAGGCAATCCCTGGGGTTCTGTCTGGGTCCCGGAACCGTACCTCGCACGCGCAAGCCCTGCTCCACAGGCTTCTCCAGGAAAGCTAGGGAAGGAAGAGGTGCGGTCTCGGTGCCCGCGTCGCAGAGCGCCACGTCCCTCCTGGCTCAACCTCCACTAAACTCCTTCGCGTCGGGGCCCGGCATTGCCCGCCTCTTGGTTCGCCAGCACGGCCTCGTCCCCGCCCCGCCAATCGGGGTCCTCCGCGATCTCGACCCAAACCAATTAGCGGCTTCCGGGGGCGGGGGCTGTCGCCATGGCAGCGGGGAGGCGGGCGCGCGCTGGGAGCGGAGGGACCCAGCAAAGCCGTGGGCCAGGGGCTGGAGAAACAGGTCTGTGCGCTACAGGCATTCTGCAGGCGGAGCCTCGCGCGCCTAGACCCGGCGAGGGAAGGCCGGTGGCCTCGAGGTGGGTGCGCATCAGTACAGCGGGAGGCTAGGGCGGGTCCTGGGATAAGGGCAAGGACGATGGCAGGGGCCGCACAGTGGGCAGGTACGGGTGGGGAGGAGGATCCCGGCTCGAGCCTGAGGCTAGGGGTCCCTCCTCCGCTCTACTAGCTGCCGGGTACCCAGGCTTTCTTCGGGGGCGATGAGGAAGGCGGACACTTGGCGGGGAGTAGGCGGGGGTAGCTGCAGGACCTAGACGCGGGCGGTGTCCAGCTCGGTCTTGGCGGGTCGGTGGGCAAGGGAGGGCCCACTGCTGAGGAGGGTACACCCACCAATTCTGGGTTGATGCTCACCTCTCCCAGCACCGCGGAGCAAAGCTAGGCCTGTGAATCCTGCCCTTCTGCCAGTTCTGTTAAGCCAGCGACGTCTGACACTTAGGAGAAAGTTCGTGCTAGTCGCGGTATCGTTTTCCCTTAATTGACAAATTAGGTACGAGATGAGCCCTTTCGGTTTTAGGGGGTGAGAAAGATAGTACTTCCTTGTTGCACCTGCTAAGTGGTAACTCTGAGCAAATGTGGTTATTGTGGTTGGTGCTGGCAACGGTCTTAGATGACAATTATTTTACAATATCATGGGGTGGGGAGAGAATTAATCTTTATTATGACTTTTAGGGGAAAGAAGCTCTTAATTCTCAGTGTTCACCAAACTCCTAAATTGGATAATATATATTTTACACAATGAATAAGTGCTACCATTTATACTTTTTATTAAGGTTGTTAAATTCGTGGATTTAACACTAATGGATGGTTAACATCATGGATGAACATTAAACAATATATTGCCTTGGTTAAAAAGTGGGGGAGGGGATTAAGTGCAAATGTTTATGATAGTCAATATTTGAAGGAGATTGTGGACTTTCCCTATAGGAAAGTTTAAAGAATTGATGAAATAGTTGCATTAAGGAATTAGCTAAAAGTGGTATGACTAGATTTGAATCAGATAACCTATAGAATCTTTTACTATCTATTAGTTGTTTATTCGTGGTTTTTTTTTTTTTTTTTTTTTTTGGCAGTTGCTGGGTACAGGGATCGAATATTTGTTTCTTAAGGCCTTTTCTGCTGGATTTTGTTAAATAATTGGATTCCGGTAATATCCAGTTTCTTGCATCTTGTTCCTTATAGAAATTGCCTCGGGATTTATCCTGATTTAAGGTGAATGTGAGTTATAGTTTTATAAAACTTGAACAAGTTCAACAAATGTTGAGCAAACAAATGTTTCAACGAATGTTCCTCAGTTAATAGCATCAAAATTAAAGCCGTGCAAGTTTAGATTAGGAACAAAGGGCTGGCTGGTTAGCTCTGTTGGTTGAAGTGCAGCCTTATAACACCAAGATCTGTGGGTTCAGATCCCTATACTGGCCAGCTGCCAAAAAAAGAGAAAAAAACCCTCACAATATGGTGAAAAGTACACTTAACTAGAATTTCATGGCCAGATTCTAATCCAGACTCTGCCAAATGATCTTGGCAAAATCAGCTAACTTCCTTGTGATTTTATAAACTTTTGTAGAAGTAGGGGCTGAACTAGATCACCTCTGAGATCATTTCTGGTTTCAGAATTCTCTAATTCCAAAATTCTAAAGCAACCTAATGGAAATAGAGCAGTTGCATGCTTTTATTTTTGGCAGAGCTTTTTGACATATTGTATTTTAGTTATCTGAACTACAGTATGTGTAAACAATGAAGGTAATGTACTGTAATTTTAATAAGTATGTTTATGGATTGATACAGATGAGAAAGTGTCTGTTTTTCATAAGCCTATTGTCAAGGATACTGCAAACCATTGTTAGGATTGGAAAAAAAGAATATATATAATGGTTTCCTTGATTGGCATCCTTTTCTAAAGATATGCACATCAGAAACACTAAATCTGGGGAAAAAAAAAAAGAAACACTAAATCTGTACTGATGTCTTGATTATGGAAGTGTTGGAGTCCAGCTCAGCTGGTCATACACCTGATTTTTTTTTTTTTTATTCTTCTTTGGTGGCTGGCTGGTGTGGGGATCCAAACCATTGACCTTGGTGTTACCAGTGTCGGGCTCTCCCAAGTGAGCTAAGCAGCCAGCCCTTATATTTTATTTTGAACCTCACTTTCTGATTGACTCTCATATTTGAAGGGGAAAATGGAGGTGAGCACTGTGTTACCTGTTGCCCTTGTCACTGCTGCCACTGAGAAACTGAGAAGCCATTTATTTTTCTTCACCCACCCCTTTTCACTGTCAGAATTATGACACTGACAGTAAGAAGTAACTCAGGTTTTTGGCTCAGGGCAGTGCCTTGGAAAAAGAAACCTGGATATTCTGCTGCAGTTCTGTTTTAATGACTGGGAGGAAGAGATTATGTTCCTTTCTTGTTGGATGTATTCCTTTCATTGACCTGTAGCTACATCAGGGCTTTGGCTATGGCAGTGCTCAGAGGAGCACTCTAATGTGGCCATTCAAAAATGACTTTTTAAAAAAAATTTATTACTCAAAAATGACTTTTAAAAGTTGTGTGTCATACTGGTCTCGCATTTTATGATCCATAACTTTGGGTGTTTACAGAACGGATTTTCATATATATACTTATATTTCATTTTCAAGACAAGAGGGGCATTAATATTTATTGAGCATTTAATATTGTCATGCACTATGCTAGTTACTTTGTATTCATTCTTATTTTCATCCCATCAACAGACCTATGAAGAAGTATTTGTTCAATTTTATAGGTATGAAAATCAAAACTCAGAGAGGCAAGTAGCTTGCGGATAAATGGAGAAATTAGGATTCAGTCTGAGGTTTGGCTGTTTATTTTTTCCCATGTTGTGTTATAAAAGTCATATACCTTTCCAAAATAGAACATGCAGTGATCACTCTTCTGCATTGATGATTTTATGTTAAATATACCATAAAAAAAGAAATATGTGTGTTTTTATTTATTTATTTATTTTATTTATTTAAAAAAATTTTTTTTTGTCCTTTTTGAGACCGGCCGCACCGCGCTCAGCCAGTGAGTGCACCGGCGGCCGTCCCTATATAGGATCCGAACCCGCGGCGGGAGCGCTACTGCGCTCCCAGCGCCGCACTCTCCCGAGTGCGCTGCGGGCTTGGCCCAGAAATATGTGTGTTTTTAAAATTTGAAAATATTTGCTTATGTTCTTTACCAGACTACTTTGAAATAATTTATTATGTTCACCAATGAGTTTGAACACGAGCTAATTGCCTTGCATCTTTACAGTTAGGTAGTGGGGTTTTAAAAAAGAATTTGAGATGTTTCATCTTATTCCTGATCATTATGACAGACTGGGACCAAGGTTAATTTTTTTTTTAAGTGGTGGTAAGAATAAAGAAAGATTCTAGTTAAAGATTTAATAGGAAAAATTATGGTATATCTTGAAATCTCACTGCTGACAAAAATAAAATTTTAATCTGAATTCTTCTTATTTAGGTGGGGAGCAATATGGTAAAACTTGGGCATAATAAATTAATGTTTTTGTTTATTTTGGTCTTTGATTCTGTTTATTTTGGATATCTCTCTCCCTTATCTACTGGAATATGATATAATTTAGTCTCCTTCCACATCATAAAAATTTGATACTTTTTCTTTTAGTACTATGACAAATGCATACACTTTCATGTGCCATTACCACTATAATAAAGCTAACGTTGTTTATATTTAATGTATCTTTTAATTTCATTTTTTTACGTTTAGAACCTGATAAGAGTAAGGTTTTAGTAAAAAATCACCGGGCCAGGAGCCAAGACCCACCTCTTCACTAATTTGATATTGTGCAAGCCATCTTACCTCTCTGGATCTCAGCTGCTTCATCTGTAAAAAGGAGAGAAAAATTCTTTACCTGTCTGAAGGTAAGTGCTCAGTTAAGACTTGCATTTGGTTGCAAAAAAAAAAAAAAAAAAAAAGAACAAAAACTAATTCCACAACCACCATTAACAAAGCACAAAAAAGGAAACAACAAAAACAGACTTCATAGTGTTTTAAACACACAATATTTATTTTCTCATATAAAATAATTCTTGAATTAGGCAGTCTAGTACAGGTATAGTGGCTTCATAAAATCATTAGAGACCTAAGTTTTTTCCAATTCTTTGATTTGCCGAGCTAAAGGTGTGGCCTTTGTTCTCATAGTCCAAGATAGCTGCTAGAGCTCTAACCATCACAGCCAAGTTCCATGCAGCAAGTAAAGGCAAAGATGCATCCTTTCCCTTTAAGGAGACTTCCTGAACCAAAGCTCAGGCTATAAGGAAGCAGGGAAATGTAGCTGGATACATGTTTACCCTCAAAATCAGGCTTTTGTTACTGAGGAGGAAAAAAAAAGATTTGGATATTGGCAGGCAAATAAAAGTGTCTGCCACAGTATGGATCATTATATCTTTCATCTCTGAGATCTGTAAGCCAATGATAATCACTTGTAGAAACTTCAGTAACTTGCCATGGCAGAGTTTTAAGCCTGACCATTGCCTACAGAAGGAAATAACCTTCATCTAATAAATTGTGTTTCTGTCTTTACTTTTATTCCATGATTCATTATAGAAGCCTTTCTATGTTCTTTTTTTGGCAGCTGTCCAGTATGGAGCTCTGAATCCTTGACCTTGATGTTATCAGCACCACCCTCTAACTAAGTGGGCTAACTGGCTAGCGCAGTACAAATTATTTGTATTTTTACAAGTTTTTGCATTTTTCTTGATCATATAAGCACAAAGTATGGTAATTATTTTGTACTAGTGTTACAATTTATTTTTTTCCAATCTGGAACCACCAACTCCAAGTAAACAAAGTAATCAGGACTATACAAAGTCTAATTTTGTTTTTAAGAGATGTTTAACATTCTAAGTCACCTGATTGAAAATGTCTAATTGCTGAATACCATTTTAATGCCTTTTAAATTTTTTTAACTAATACAAAAAGGATCACCGGATTGCAACCCTCAGTGTTGCCCCCGTACCGGACCGGGGACCGGCAACGGGATCGCAACGGGATCACAACGGGATCGCAACCCTCGGCGCTGCTCCCGCGCCTCGCTCAGCCAGTGAGCGGAACCGGTCTG